TAGATTTGATTTTAGCCGTTTGATTGTGCGATTGCCTCAGCAAAACGAAGCAGGCTAAGTTCCTTCTATCTGTTGGTTATTTTGAACGCCTTCAGATTTTCCACAACATGGCCAGTGTCTAGTAGATGGCGTACAATCACACTGTTTGATGCTTGTGAATCCTTCAGTCTCAGTTTCTTTGGTATATGTTCAGCGATGAAAACAATAACTCTTCTGTCTGTTCTTCCAATATATGTGCTTTGGCACGTAAATGTAAATTATTAAACACAGTTGGAGGTAACATAAGGCCTGAGTATGTCCACTTTTAACTGTCTTAAACAAGAGTTCGTTTGATAAACACATACAAGCTTGGCACAGTTTGATATGTTCTTATCAGAGCAGCGTTCAGTCTCCATCTTATTCTACTAGCAGTATCATCACCTTTGAAGGCAAGCTGTAGAAAGACAGGTTTTTTCTCTACTGCGCTGTATGTACATCACCTTGTCGGGACTACATTTTCCATGTTTGTCGATGAACTTCTATGAGCAACCATTATCACTCAGGCCTTTTTCAACAGTGGCTAGTTCTTCCTCCGTTTCCTCTACAGGTTGCCTGACAGTAGTTGTGAATGAACCGAAATTTATAGTTGGCGGTCTTCAGTGACATAGTTCAGAATCTGACGATTCCCATATACACACTTAGAAAAGAAATAAGCAACAAATTAATCAAAGAAATATGTTCGTTTTCAGTCAGTTCCTTGTCATCAGCTCGACACTAATATGTGGTTTTTTTTACATCAAATTTGATTTGATTGGTAACAGGATTTCATCATGAGCTGATATGGGTTTGAGGACTACTGGGAAACCAACCAGGGAGTGCTTAACAGCTAAATCATTGGCAGTACGCACCCACCGCCAGAGTTCGAACCAAGGACCTTCTGTTTGCCAGACGAGCTCGTGGACCCTTATGCTATCAGGATTCGACCTACTGGCCTATGAATTCCAACTTTCGTAAATTCGCAATATAATGCGACCACTAGCCAGCTTTAAAATTTGTGGGCCATCGTATTGGATCCTAGAGGCTTAAAGCTCTACGAGTTCTTCTTGCAGCCAGAAGGTCCTAGATTCGAACCCTGACGGTGGGTGCGTACCTTTGAAGAGATCCCGATTGGGACGAAAAGGTTGTCTAGTACTCCGTAGTTGGTTTTCCAGTGCTCTTCTAACTGATTTCAGCTCATGATGAAGTCCTGTAGCTAGGCATTTAATTCTTCTTACTCAGCATTATTTTACAAATTTCCCGATTGTGTAATGACTTGTTGGTAGCCCGTGACGAATTAACTGATCTTGAACTTGAGGGTTATTTCTTACCTGTCTTTTAAAACTTTGTTACCTTGTTGCTTACATCTTCCAGTTTAACTGTTTTGATGGCCTTTAATCCCTTATATTCATCACCCACTTCCGCCGCATACCTAAAACTGACATTTTTTATGCATTAAATTACCACATGATGTTACAAAACTGCATTCTATCTCCCATGTTAGATGGTGTAATATGGTGAGCAATATTGAGGTTAGGCGTCGAATGCTAGGTGAAGAGGGAAAATCAGTAGAAGTTATACCGACTGAAATGGTTATGACATGTGTTACGTATTGCTTAGCCATCGCCTTCGTCGACGACAAGCAGTGTTCGCTGACATAAGGCGGATCACGTTGGAGACGAGTTAGTGGTGGTCAAACGAAAATATGTCACCATCAATGAATAAAATCCACAACAGTTAGTTTAAATCAACCAGCCACATCGGGAGGTGTAGACTTTGTGATTGAAGAAGTCCTCTGGACGGTAAAAATCAACAAAAGCTGGAGACAATATGTGATAAGGCTCAAAATCGTAGACGCATCCACACTCCTTGTGTGGTTTATAATATCCAATAAAATTATATTGCTCCTTCATATTATTGTTCTTTTTGCCTCATATCTCTGTTTTAAATCTCTTCTGTGGCTTTGTGTGCTACATGGAGGGAGTGTGGCTACTGGAACTGCTGCACATTCGTTCAAAGTTCTACGTTCAAACCAGCCAGCTAGATGTTAAATAAAACAATATATTAGTGTACAGCCAATGATGAAGAACTAATTGTTTGTTTGTTTTTTTTGTATAAATAGCTCAGAATCGTTTGCTGTCGCCTAGACACATTCTTTCTTTTTTTTTTCTCACCTACCACATCTCTATTTCCTGCTTGCAAGAATTTAGCTAAAGTCAACTTACTTGAGTTACTGAACATTTTCGTTATCCGCAGACTTTCTCCGTGTATCTTGTATTTGAGAAATTCAACTATACCATATGCATTACAGGTGCGCTGTGTAAAGAGGCAAGTGTCAGAAACGAATTTTATAAACTTGCCTTATAACCAGCAGTAAATAAACAGTGACTTATAACCAAAACTATTATTACTGCATACATGTATATTCTTCTTCTAGTTACCTTTCGTTTTTCGCGGTTTTATTATTTTCCACTATTCTATGTATTTAGTTATTTGTAAAAAAAAAGATAAATTGTTACAATATGTACACACTGCTGAATATTCGATTCTGTGTATAAAATGTATTGCTTGGAATGAGGCGATTATTATTATTATTATTATTATTATTGTCACCATGTTACTCTAGTAGTGTTGTACAACGTTTTATTCTCTTATAATGCCATACATAATGTGTGATATGGTAACTAGAAGCACTTGTAACACTATCTTACGTTGATAATGCATGTCTTGAAGATTCTTTTTTTCACATCTCTGCTAAAAATACCAGTGACTTCCATTTCCACATCGATTATACTGGTTGTTATTTATATGTTATTGTTCTCTTGGGTTCCAAGTGGAACATATAGAGCTTCAACATCAGGTTTCCACTTTCTCTCTCTCTCTCTCTCTCCCGTCACATTTAGCTCGTCCTGTGAGTGTCCATAGTCTCCCATTTCCTCTGTGTCACCCTGGAAACTACTCCCAACTCATTATTTTTTGTCTGGATTAAACTCGATCGATGGTCTGGCGTCCGATATCATTCAACGGCCTCCTTATTTTTTGTGCCCAATCTATCTCCACTTTTTTCGGAATATTTATTCGGCAATCGGCTCTTGGCTGGTCTTTTCCCCATAGTTTCTTGTTGTTAATTCCGTCTGGCTTACCCTCTATAGCTGACTATGGACCAAAGGAAGTTGTTGATAAAAGTCTTTAACCTGTTGAAAATGCTTTCCGTGATGCGCCATGACCTATATAGAAGAAATGAATTAACGTTTGTATTGAAAATCAGGATCTTCTTCTTTATGCTGACTGAGTTAGTGCAGAAGATTTTCAAACTGGTTTCAGGTTGATGAAGGTGTATCTTGCCTTTCCAATTCTGGCTGGCTGATTGGCTTTTACATCTTCATCCTTTCTGTCGCTTGTGGTTGAAATCGTGTTTCCTAATCAGATAAGTGAAGGAAGTAACCTCTGTCAAATCTCTCCCGTTGATGGTGAATGGTGCCGGTTGTTGTTACTGTTGGTTGGTTATCTTCATCACCTCCGTCTTCTCTGTGTTCATCGGAGTCCTGTCTTCGCTGCTTGCTGCTTCAGCTGGTTTGTTCGTTTTACATGAGGTATAAATCATCCGCGAAATCCAGAACTCCTAGGATCTTTCTATTGGTCCAGCGTATTCCTGTCTTCCCCCCTTCTCATAGTCTGACTCATAATGCAGTTCACCACAATTATTTTATTGTTATCGGCGATAATGGGTAGCCTTGTCTTACTCCTATATTCACTTTGAACGCCCCACTGAGTTTTCCGTTGTGGGTAACCTGACACATGGCATTGTCGTATAGCTGTTTAATGAGGTTGATATAGATAACACTAGTAATCTATTCCAGTTTATTCTATGTCCTATTCTGAAAGTGTCTTCATTTGTCTCAAATCAAATCTCTGCCAACCAACACTTGAAAATTAATCTAGTGCTCACTGGTGACTGGCTCCAGGATGAATTTGTCTGAAGTTCGACTGGCGAGTCGTAACCAACAGGGTCCAACAGGTTGAATATGGGGATGAATAATCCCTGATGACATTATACATCGGCCGTGCTATATATATCACGAATTGGCAGAAGTATGTCGGTAGTTCAGCGATAGAATCCTGTCTAACCACTCACGTGTTCCGAGGTGCGGTTCCCAACCGAAAAACCCCTCCGTCTCGTTTGGCTGGTGCCAAGCCCAGTAAAGAGGCAAGGTTGGGTGTGAGGCTAGCAATCTCACCTTGAAAAAAGACTGACACCACTGCTACTGAAACTTCGAGACTCAAGCTTGAAGCCCTATGTTCTACTCTGAAGGCGAAGAAATAAAATAAATCATAAGCATTCATGCATAATCGGACTTCGTCCCAGTGACTGAATTGTCAGTAGGCTCTGCTTGTAACCTGAAGATTCTGGATTCGATCCGTATAGGTAGGGTTATGGGTGTGTACTGTTTAATAGTCCTGAATAAGGACCAAAAAGCTACCCGAACCTTCTTGGTACGTATCCACCGGGTTTCGAACCTGATTTATCAATCCGTAATTAAACTTGAAACAAATCAAATCCCTACAAACAAACTCTTTGAATTTAATCTGACGCTCTTTAATAGACTGGCTGCAAGATGTGAAGTTACCTCGAATTCTAGTGAGAAATCATGATCACGGGGGGGGGTCCACCCCATCGGGAGTGACGACAAATACTCGCGGATGACACTGGTTGGTGCCAGTCGCGCGCTAAAATCACGTGTCAATAGAAGTGAGAATTCATTGGCCGTTAAGTAGGGTCCCAGTTGCTGGATGCTCCTAATAGCTTGGACTTGTAACCGGTAGGTAGTGGGTTCAAACCCTGGTGGGGTAGGTGCGTGCTGCCGATGAGTCCTAAACTGGCATGAAACATTACCAATTTGATGAGTATTTCTTGACAGTTTTATTATCATATGGTTTTATTACTATTATTATTTCCATCTTTCAACTATATTTTTCCTTAATAGCCTGTCACAATGACGTTACCCACTCAGACAAATATTCCACAATTTCAGTTAGGCAGATGTGTATGTCTTCAGCGTCTACCACCAGTGATGAAAGTTGCTAAAGTTTTACAAACCTTTCTTCCATCAAAAAAGAAACGTGTAGATCGTGTTGATGTCAGTTCATATGCACTTTCTCGTTGGACACCATATCTATTAGATATTATGGAGGTAAGTTTATTCCGTGTGTTTAGTAAAGTGTGTCGTATTGTTCTATCATGTATAAAATTTCATTCTAATAAAGTCACACAGTAATATTTACCAATGATGAACGACGTTTTGAGCACAATTTATTACTAATGTTCATAATCATATCGAAGCAGTACTCATACAACTTTATTGCTTCATTTATATACATGAGTAAAAGTTAATTAGACATTTGAATAAAATCCATAAAAGTTCAATAGACATGCATGCATGCTCACCAGTGACTGGCCCTATTCAGGCAGTTACCTGGGTTCTAGTGGGACAGCCGTGACCAGTAGGGTGCATCAGGTCGAAAGTGAGGACAGTTACTCATCGAAGAAGTGGTCGCGCTATATCGTGAATTGGCAGAAGTTAGAACTGATGGGCCATTGGATCGCGTCCCAGTGGCTTAATGGTCTACGAGCTAGCTCACTTTGTATCCAGAAAGACCTGGGTTCAAACCCCGGTGGGTGTGTGCTGATACAGAGTCCCAGACTAGGGTGAAACGGCTCTCCAATATCCCCTAGTTGGTTTTCCAATGGTTCTCTCTGTCTCTCTCCCTAGGACAACAAGCATCACTAGCCAAGACTCTGGAGTCCCGAGCCATTAATGTATGTTGTGTTTCAGAAACATGCATACAACACCCAAGTGTGGTTATTCACCTAACCCCATCGGGACAACAGGATGAATCTTCAAAATTCACCTTAAGGGTGTCAGGAGATGGCACAGCTAGTTCACGAGGATTAGCTGGCGTAGGGATAGCTTTGAGTACCAGGTCAAAAAAGGCATTACTTGACTGGATCCCGGTAGATAGCCGAATGTGTGCTGTCCGTCTGAACGGATCAGTAAGAAGGAGGAAGGACTGCACTACTCGCCGATGCCTTTTCGTAATCTCCGCCTACGCCCCCACTGACCGCAGTTCGGACGAAATGAAAGATGAGTTCTACCAAAAGCTGTCTAGTTCGGTGGGAAAGGCTAAACGCTCAGATATAGTCGTTCTAGCTGGTGACTTTAATGCTCAAGTAGGGAAATTGTGTCAGTCTGAGAAGGATGTCGGTGGCACCTATGGAGTTCCGTGCCAGCGAACCGACAACGTTGACCGTCTCCGGTCACGCACTGGTCCGCGGTCGGGTGTGCTCACGACTGAACGAACGTAGGAAACAGCTGGCGGTAAACCCATCACGTCCCCAGCTCGATCAGGAAACTTAATCCCTATCCCTATTTGAGGAAGAACTAGCTAAACACATACCTGAGTTCGACAGCTGTGCTCACCCTGAAGAAGCTTGGAAGAATATTCAGTCAGCCATAGATACAGCTGTAAAAGCTGTGAATAAGGTAAATCCAAAGGTGAATAAAAACCATTTGATTTCGACTGCTTCATTGGAACTAGTAGATGCTAGAAGACTTTTTCCGGCGAGCTCCGAATTCAATGAGGAGCGAAAGCTGCACAAAAGGAAACTTACGAAAAGTCTCCGCAAGGACCGTGAACGGTGGTGGCTGACAAAGGCAAAAGAGATGGAAAAAGCATCGGTGATAGGCAACACTAGACAACTCTTTAGACTCATCAGGGAAACGGGTGGGAGAAGGCAAATCATAAGTGAAACAATCTCGGAGAAAAATGGCACTATAATTAGCTCCCAGGATAAACGACTGGATCGCTAGAAAGAGCACTATGAGGAGAAGTTTAATTGGCCGACAGCCACGCTCAACCTGCCGAACATCCAACACCTCCCTGAATGGGATATAGACACAGGTCCCCCTTCCTTAACTGAGGTTACTAAAGCTGTTACCAATCTGAAACAAAGCAAAGCAGCAGGACCTGATGGAATTACTCCAGAGGTATTTAAGTACGGTGGAGACAGTTTACTGTCTGCATTAACCGAGGTACTAGGCAGCGTCTGGGAATCAGAAGTCCCATCGGGTTGGGGTAAGTCACTGATTATCCCGATATACAAGAAGGGAGACAAGTCTTCCTGTGATAATCACAGAGGGATTAGCTTGACTAATATAGTAGGTATCTAAAGTCCTAGGCTCAATAACCATGCGTAGACTAAGTGGCCCACGGGAAGCGCAAACACGAGAGAGCCAGGCAGGCTTTAGACCAGGAAGAGGGTGTATTGACCATATCTTCACCCTCCGACAGATTCTAGAACATAGGCAGACAATGGTTCTCTAACCGATTTCAGCTCATGATGAAATTCTGTAATCAGTCAAATCCATGGAAACTAACAACTGAACTCTTGTTTTCGTTACGACTATAATCAGCATCCTCTTAGAAGTGTATTTTTCATGCTCTTTAATAGTGCTGTATGGTTAGTACATTATTCTTTGTTCGAAGGTTCACTATTTCTCTGAGTATTCTAGATAAATATATTTGAATGTTTCTATTTTTCTTATTTCATCTTATAGCAAGCTATTTCAGGAAAGTTGGATAAGTCACGGTTTGGATTTGTTGTTGCAAAAGGCATCAAAGATGTTCATGGGCTTGGTAATGTTGTAGATACTAGTTCTAAAGGATATAAAAAGCCATCTGCACGATTTCATGCCAGTGGAGTTTTATCCTCTGGTTCATCAGCATCCAGTTCTGTTAGATCGCCTAGTCCAAATCCGGGGAATGATCGTAGTGCAGCTTCAGCGTCTTCGATGTCTGAACACTGTGGTCCTCGTCTTATCGTTTTTGTTGCCGGTGGCTTTACACTATCCGAAGCTAGAGTTGGCTATCAGCTGACTCAAAAAGTATGTGCTCAAATACTCATTGTCTTTTATGTGTGTGTGTTGTATGTTGTTGTTGTTGTAGTTATATAATATGACTGGATGTAATCCATTTTTATAGTACTGAGTGCGTAATTGTCCACTGGAACTTAGTGTTCAAAGCATAAATGTTAGTTTCTTCGACACCGAAAGCTACAGAAAGTCTGCACAACCAACTGAAATGATGATAAAATTTAATCTTTACCACTGATAATCCTTCACTGTGAGTTTATATGAATGAGATTGAATGGTATGCCATAACTAATTCAAATCATAGAACCAGATTGTAATGGTAAATGTATGCTGCGACCAATGGTTTGGAAAATAACTGAAACTGTATTGCCTGATCCGATACCTACTACTACCCTGACGTGGTGGTCGAGTTTGCATATCACAGTGACCCAATGAGCTAAACTGACTGGCACTGATGTCCCTCGAGGTCATATCACACCTCCTTTTCTATTCAACTTCATCATAGATGTGTTAATGGACTTAACCCTAGGTGACTTCAGCGACTCAGGGATTGACTTGCTACCGGGGAATAATCTCGTTGACTTCGAATATGCAGACGATATAGTCCTTCTACTCGAAGAGCCGCAATCTACGAATGTTTGGCATGCGATTCGCTCCCGCCAAATGCAAGATGATGTTACAGGACTGGACTACATCGACGCCTAGTTTAAAAATAGGAAGTGAAGTGGTAGAGCACGTTGACCGCTTCACTTATTTGGGAAGTACCATCAGCCCCAACGGGCTGATCTCTGACGAAATCTCAGCACGAATACAAGGGGCTCGTTTCGCATTTGTTAGTTTACGCCGACTCTGGCGTAGACGAGATGTTCGACTATCGACCAAAGGGCGGGTGTACTGCTCATCAGTCCGCTCCGTCCTCGTTTATGGTTGTGACACCTGGTCACTGAGAGTGAAAGACATGAAAAGACTAGCTGTCTTTGATCATAGGTGCCTGCGTTCTATTTCCCGTGTAAAGTGGCATAACAAGGTGAGCAACATGGAGGTTAGGCGCAGAGTTCTAGGTAAACAGGGAAATCAATCGACGACGTTGTGAAGCTACAAAGACTGAAATGGTTAGGACATGTGTTACGTATGCCAAGTCATCACCTCCCTCGACGAGCTATGTTAGCGGATATAGGGTCAGACTGGAAAAAAGCTAGCGGCGGTCAAACAAAAACTTGGCCTCACCAGTCAATGAAATCCACAACAGTTGGTCTAAGCCACGTAGAAAGGTGTAGACTTCCAGGCTGGGGTCCTCGGGACGGTAAAAATCTATGGTTGGAAACAATTGGTGACATGGCTCAAAACCGTTCTCAGTGGCGCAGATGCATCCACTCCCTGTGACTTATGATCTTCAATGAAACTGTTTTGTATTTCTTTATTACTCCTTTGTCTCACACCTCTGCTCACTGTTTCTATTATGCTTTTCTTGTACTTTCTTCTCTTGCTTTGTGTGCTACAAGGAGGGAGTGTGGCGACTTGAACTTCCGCACATTTGTGCAAAGTTCTATGTCGAAAACAGACAGACAGACATATCACACCAGAAAAGTTGTTAGACTAAAAACAGTTACCGGCATAATGTATTCCTTTTTTATACTATTCTGGGGTGTCTGTGGGTTAAGTCGTACTGCTAGAGAACGGGGATATAACAGCAGTAAGGCGTTTTCCCCTAGATGACCAGCATGCCGACTATGTTGCCTCTCCAATCCGGAGATGGCGAGGAGTTAGAAAAAATAGACCCTAAAAATTGTACATCCCAACTTACCCTAAAGCCTTCCGTAGTCGGCAGTAGGATCCCAGTAACGAACACAACTCCAAAAACCATTTTTAACAGACCGTGTGTGACCGACCTCAGTCTATCATCTTTTGGGCTCTGTGGTCACGTAGCACTAATTCTTTTGTCGTTTCAGGTACCCTAAGAAAAAACCAACTTCCACAGTCTGGACAGACGGGAAGTAACAATTGCTCACACGCTTTGAAAAGCACACGAAGCTCTCCTGATCATATATATTCTATTGTAAGGAGTGATGTCACACCTCCACAGACATTCCTCTGAATCTAGTATTTATCGTACAAACCTGCAGTGAATGAATATCCACCATAGTAAAGTTTAAAAAGTCACCGGTGGTTATTATAACGATTCGAAGTGTTTCAAAAGTTAGTACTTAGGGGTTGCACTGTGGAGAAATAACCAACTAAAGGCGAAAAATTCATCCCCCTTCCCTTGTCTAATATTGAGTCCATAATTTCAAAATTGATAACTTTTATTGTTTGCTTTTTTGAATACGATTACAAATGTGACATTTATTAAATTAGATGAATTGGTTTAGCGGTACTTTTGAATGGATATGTATAATAACAGTAATAAGACAGAGGTTGACTAACTTAGTTTCAGCATAGAGCTTTACTCTGACGTGCATCGGTTTAAGTTGCCACACTCTATATGGTGCAAAAAAGGTGTAGGAGAGAAGTTCAGAAGAATTACAATGAACAGAAGTGTTTGGGAGGAAGAATAGTAATAAAGAACAAGACAACCGTTTAGTACATATGTTAGGTTACAAAGATTAAATGTACCTGTGGCATTGAAAAAGAATTTTGAGCCATTTCACCAATAGTCTCCAGCCGTTGGTTATTAGCATCTCGAGTTCCTCAACCAGGCATTCTACACCTCTAACTCAAACCAACCGTCAAAGACTTCATGGATTGGTGCCAGATTTTGGTTTGACCACCTCTAACTGTCTTCTAACTTGATCCTAAGTCAGCTAACATTGCTTGTCAAGGTAGGCAGTAACCCGTCATGCATAACGCGTGTATTCTAGCTGTCTGAAAATAGAAGTTGTTACTCACCCTCGTAGTGTAGGTGGATAATCATTTTGAATAGAATTCTCAATTTGAGAATTCATTCGCCATTTGTATTTGTTTATAGCACTTTGATTTGACTAGCAAGCACTAGCGGTTGATGGGAGTGGTATCCTGCTACTTACACCAACCAACCAAGTAGTATGTATGAGTCGGTGGTATAGCGGTTAGGACGCTCGCCGACCATCCACATGGTCCGGGGTTCGACCCCCGGCCGGCGCACTCCTTTACCTCACTGAGCCAGAAATAATGCTGGTAAAGAGGAAAGGTTGGGCATGAGGGGCAGGCTAGCAACCACATCCTGTAAAAATTAAACACTGCTACAGAAACTTCAAGCCACTAGTTTGGAGCCCTATGTTCCACTGGGAACCTGAAGGAAAAATTATTTATTATTATTATCGATTATGTAATACTATATACTAAATCCTTCACAGAAAATTTCTTAATCAAGCAGAAATCCTTGTTAGTGTTAATCACTCAAATCCGTATGCTGTCGAGTTTCTAGTCAACTGCTGACAAAACTCAAGCAGATGTGTTCTCTATTGCAACTATTGGATGGAGTTAAATCGATAGATAAACCATTCCATTTCGTTAATTATCAACCTTTTACAGTGAACAAAGAGACCAGTTAACTCATTGCAAATAAGCATCCAACTAAACTTAAGACATAACAGTATTATTTTCATGCATTTATTCCCCTTTATGAATTGGAATAAAACAAAAATAATAGTTTTTGAATAATGATATGGGGTATTGCCACTGTCTATTCCGTTGACTTCTCATCATCTACCTAGAGCCTACAAATTTTACATGATGTCAGTTGACAGGAGGTTCTGGACTCAGGAAATAGTGCTCAGTAAATTACGCTTATATAGTTTTCGCACTGGGAGTTCACGTTTAAATAGAGTAAATGTAGGCATACAACAGTAAAGGAGTTACGTATTAAAGACAAGAGATGCGTAACTAATAAACCGGGTGACAGTGTACCAAGTTCAACTCAAATCGTAGTATCAACAGACAAGCGAAATTACACTATATCAAAAGGAGGTGGGGTTAGGTTAAGGTCAAAGGTTATGTGACGAAGTGAAAGAGAGAATAAAGACATTGAGTTACCAGGCGGTCAAGGAAAGACTGATTGATAACAGCTTCTTTCTGAACACATAAATCGGGTTTCAGACGATTGATAGAGATTGATTCGGCACCTCATGACTGGTGTCAAGGAGATGTCTGGTAATGGCACTAATGTAAGCGCCTTTTTTCTTGGGACGTACGCCGTTCGGTACACGTTCAGAAAATCGGAGGTGTTGTCTTCTTTCTATTCTTCTAATGTAACTGCTCCCGCAAATACACGTAAATTTGTATACAAAGTTGGAGTCAATATGAGAAGGGTATCTGTCGACTTTTGACTGTACCAACGAGTATGTTGTCCGACAGATGAGAACCAACTTGGTTATAGGATAGTGGCTCTGGTTAGTGGTATTTTCAATTCTAAAATCGAGGTGAATGAAGACAGGCTTTTTTACCTACTGTGATTTGTTTGATGTTTGAGCCTTCACATCTTCCATATTTGTTAATGAGTCTCTGAGAGTAGCCGTTGTTCTTCAACGTCTTTTCGAGAGAATCATAAATTCTTCCTCTAATTTCTCTGCAGAGCATATTTTCCTATCTCTCTTAGTACAGAGTCTTGACTAGTACTGATTTTGTTGTTAATTAACAATGCACACATTAACGCCTAAACAGTTGTATAGTTTTGAAGAGGAGTTTCGCAAAGGGAATAAATAGATTGCCTTCAGTGACTTATACGCTCTTAATTCAAATATATTTTGTTAATGTGTACCTGCAGATAGGTAGATAAATAGGCCTTTGAATTCCAAAGCTTTCTACTGGTTGACTTATAACATATTGAAGGCTCTACTGTCTTCTAAGTATAGCGATGAAGAGAAAGAAAACCCCACCAGACATAATTAAATTATTTTCTGCGAATTAACTGCGTACGTCGTACATTGTCTGTCGATCACATTTAATTGCTCGTAAAGAATCACACAGAATGAAAACTTAATCGAAAGGTAAAAGTAATCAATATAATTTGTATCATGATGATTAATATTACTGGAATAAAGCAAGAGCAATAGTCTTTGCAGAATAATAATATACGGTACCATCACTGTCTATTGCGTTGGCTTCTCTCCAGCTGCCTACAGCTTAAATAAATTATTGAGCTTATGTACAAAAAGGTTTTAACCGAAAGATGAACATTTCAAGGGAACAAGCGCTGACAAAATTGCCATTACCAGACATCTCCTTGACACCAGTCATGAGGTGCCGAATCAATCTCTATCAAACGCCCGAAACCCGATTTGTGTGTTCAGAATGAAGCAGGTATCAGTCTTTCCTTGCTCGCCTGGTAACTCAATGTCTTTATTCTCTCTTTCACTTCGTCACATAACCTTTGACCTTAACCTAACCCCACCTCCTTTTGATATAGTGTAATTTCGCTTGTCTGTTGATACTACGATTTGAGTTGAACTTGGTACACTGTCACCCGGTTTATTAGTTACGCATCTCTTGTCTTTAATACGTAACTCCTTTACTGTTGTATGCCTACATTTACTCTATTTAAACGTGAACTCCCAGTGCGAAAACTATATAAGCGTAATTTACTGAGCACTATTTCCTGAGTCCAGAACCTCCTGTCAACTGACATCATGTAAAATTTGCAAGTATGTTGAAATTGTTTGCGTGCATAAACTTAATAATAGCTTATTTATGCTGTAAGCAGCTGATGAAAAGCCGAGGGAGGAAGTAAACATTAATCATACTATATAATTTTTTGAAAAACTGCTGTTCTTACTTTATTCAAACAAATTATTCTTCATTTTATTCATTTTGCATCCCGGGTGGAACACATGAGCTTTTAAACTAGAGATTTGAAGTTCCAGTTGGAGTGGTTTTTATTTTTAACGGGGTTGAGGTTTCTGGCTTCACCCTCTGATCTTTCCTCCTTACTGGGCTTAATACCACCAGCTCAGCGAGATTTAGGAATATGCCAGGCGGGGATCGAACCCTGGACCAAGTGAGTCGTTGGTGAGCACCATTTTGACAATAAAATTCAGGGATTATTGTCAATTAACAATAAAATAAATCAAACTGTTTGAGAAATAGTCGTGTGTGTATGTGTGAAAAATAATGGACAGTCGTGTGTTGTAATCGAAAAAGTGCATAAATAAATAATTAGTTGAGTAACGAATGGTCATTTGGATATAATTTATAGGAAATACAAGCACAAAGAATCGGAAGTGGTTGTGAAAAACAGAAGATCGCATAGAGTTTATTTTGCAACAAATGAGGAAAATAAAAGTGACACTAAAGCCTGTTTCTGCGTCGGTGGTATAACGGTTAGGACGCTCTCCGACCATGACCATGATCCGGGGTTCGATCACCGACCGACGCACTCCTTTACCTCGCTGAACCAGAAATAATGCTGGTTAAGAGGAAAGGTTGGGCATGAGGTTAGCAACCCCATCCTGTAAAATTAAACACTGCTACAGAAACTTCAAGCCACTAGCTTGGAGCCCTATGTTCCACTGGAGAACGTGAAGGAAAAAAAGCCATATTAGTAATTAAGACTGTGAACACATAGTTCAGGTTTTTCCCTATGGATTGCTAAACCTTTGACTTTACTGAAGCAAATGTAGGCGGAATCCTTCTATGAACCCCGCTTGATCCGTTCCTTTAAAAGAAGTCCTGTGCTGGTGCTATATGGCCAGAAGTAATAGTATGCTTTAGAATCAAGCTGTTGACTATTCTGCGTTCTTTTTCAACAGCCATACTTGTGTAAATATTCGTGCTTAATTCTAGATAATATCCTGCTGGTACTTACGGTCCATGTACTCAACTCTACACGGACAAATAATTTGATAAATACCTGTTGAAGTTGCCAAAAGTCGGATCTTTTCTTTGACGTTTTGATAAGCAAGAGCATATGTGGAGGTGTGAATTAGGGGGAGGCGACAAATAATACTGTACGAATTGCTCTCAATAGACGGGTTTGAAGAACTCCATTAGTTGTTCCTTAGATGCGAGGTTTATATTCTTTCATATATTCAGTAATCGAACCAGTTATATTTTTTGTGATTGCAACTGGTCCATTGGGGGACTAAATTATCAACCCTTTTCCATAACTGAAATTAAATGTCATACTCTAATAATGATACAATTCTAACACCTTCTCTCTCTCATTGTATTTTAAATAGTGTGTAGAAACTCGTCTTGCTTCTAGCGATGAAACTACCGGAAATCTTGCTACACCTGGTGTACCAGAAGCGACACCAGTCATTCCAGGCGGTGGAGGAGTTGGTTGGAACTGGGAAGTTGTTGTCGGTGGTACACACTTGTTGACACCAAAAGTATTTTTAGACAATCTGGAGAACATGGCAAAAATTATAATGCCACCAGTCACCACTGCACCAATACCTGAATCTATACTTCGTCGGGTTTCTCTTCAACCACCGCATCGAGGATAAGATTGTCGCTGACGCATAGCTCAACCATAACATATCATCCTGGCTGTGTATGCTGCGTTGCAATAAATGAATTAATTAATTTCTGTTTGTTTTATTTTTATTTCTTTTACAAATACTTTGTTTAATAATAAGTGACGCTTTTTAAATTGAAAAATTGTATTATTCCACGATAGCTATTGCCTATGACTTAATATACATATGAATGACTTTTGGTTTAAATTAAAGTTGTGATCATTAGTAGTGATTCTATTTTCTATCCGCAACATATCTCAGCGAAATAATTATTCATTTATATTTTCTTAATTTTTATTATATTTCTAGCTTATTTAATAATCATTTTAATGTGTATTGTTTGTTTTTTCCATTTTTGGATGTATTCTTTAAATATACGTATTATTATTATTATATCCTTTAATTCCTAGAGGAACATAAGGCTTCAGCTGCGCGTCTCCATTGCCTTCTGTTTTCTGCCAGCTTTTTCACTCCGCTCCAAGTCTGCTCACATGCTTTCATCTCCTCCTCATATGACCTCCTCCAAGTCACACACACACACTGACGACCAACTCGCCGCTTCCCTTTCAGGTTCCACTAGAGCGATGGCTAGTCTAGTGATGCCACTTGATGGTTTCCTCAGTGTATGGCCAATCCATCTCCATTTCTTCCTGCACATTTGTTTCACAATCAGTTCCTGGTTGGTTCGCTCCCAGAGATCTTTGTTGCTGATCTTTTCGGGCCGGCTATCTGATCTTGAGTATTGAGCGAAGACAACTGTTGATTAAGGTCTGTAGTTTGTTTGAGGTGCTCTTTATGACGCGCCAAGTCTCTGATCCAATCGTATAGTAGCACTGACTTCACATTGGAGTTGAAAATCCGGATCTTATTTTCGATGGTGAGTGATGTTGACCTCCTGCACACAGACTTAAGGGTAATCAAAGCCTGTCTTGCTTTTCCGATTCTGGCTTTGATATCCTCGCCAGCTCCGTCTGCCTGTAGTTGAAACGATGCTTCCCAGGTAGGTAAGTGTGAAGGAGGTTGTTTCTTTCAGGTTCCTCTCATTTATGCTGGCTGATTGTTGTCTGTTGGTGTTGGCCAAGAATCTTCATCACCTCTGTTTTATCTATGTTCACCTGAAGGCCTGTCTTTGATGCTTCTTGTGCCAACTTGTTGCTTTTCACTTGCATATCTCCCAGTTTGTGGGAAATGAGACATATATCATCACGGGCGAAGTCCAGATCCTCCAAGTTTTTTGTGTGAGTCCATTTTGTGCCTGGTACGTAAAACAAAGAAATGTTATTATTACTATACCCTTGGATTCCGAGTGGAACATAGTGCTGGCTTCAACAACATATCTCCACTCTGGTCTATTTTCTCCTGTCCTCATCAGCTGGTTGGCTCTCCTCCTCCAACTCACACAATCCCCTCCAAGTCATCACCGTCAGACCAACGTCTCACTCGGCTTCCACTAGAGCAATGGCCTGTATTGAGCGCAATGTCATTCGACGGTCTCCTCAAAGTATGCCCGATCCATCTCCATTTTCTCTAACATATTTGTTGAGCAGTCGGCTCTTCGTTGATTCATTGCATTGCAGAGTTTCATGTTGCTAATTGTTTCTCGCTGGCTGGTCATTTGATCTTCATTACGGAGCCAGCCAGCCAGCGAAGTGGGCAGCTGTTGATACAAGTCTGTAACTTGTTGGAAATCCTCTTCATGATACTCACTGCAAGTTTCTGACCCGTATAGAAGCACTGACTGACGTTTGTGTTGAAAATTCAAACTTTTTTGTTCTTTATGCTGACTGAGTTAGTGCAGAAGATTTTCAAAGTGGTTTCAGGTTGATGAAGGTTTATCTTGCCTTTCCAATTCTGGCTGGCTGATTGGCTTTTACATCTTCATCCTTTCTGTTGCTTGTGGTTGAAACCGTGTTTCCTGATCAGATAAGTGAAGGAAGTAACATCTGTCAAATCTCTCCCGTTGATGGTGAATGGCGCCGGTTGTTGTTGCTGTTGGTTGGTTATCTTCATTACTGTTATGTACTCGTCGCTAAATTATTGTTATGGACTGGTCGAGAATTTAATAGTCCTGACGCAAGAAGGCGGAAATCAGAAGACCACTAGATTTGCGATGATACTTCTATTTTCCAAACACAAGGAGAATGCAAAAGTGGTAAGCCACACAAATTGTGAGAGCGAAATATATGTGAATGTTCAGACAAGGGTGTGAACAAATCATTAGACAGTCTTAACATGAATGGCTAATTATAATGAAGTATCGATCCATGTATACATAGCGAAATATAGCAGACATGTCAACAACCACCATATATGGATATATGTCACCAAGCAACGGACTGTCAACAAACACACATATTATATATAATATAAGGAGAATATACGTTGTTAAGGTTCATACAAGTGAAATGGTCACAGACTAAGCGAGCAAACAGAAAGAGAGACCAACATATATATATATATAAATGGATACATATCAATTACCTCCGTCTTCTTTGTGTTCACATGGAGTCCTGGCTTCACTGGCTTCTTCAGTCAGTTTCTTGTTTTTCGCCTGTACTTCTTGGAGTTTATATGACATTAAACATAAGTCATCTTCGAAATCCAGATCTTCTAGAGTCTTCTAATCGGTCCTGATGAGCTTTAAGTAGTTCGTTGTATGCTCAACTTTTATTTGGTTTTAGTCATGGTAAGAGAATTAATTTGGTGAATGGTGGCTAATAGTGGAATCCTCTAGGGCAATTCACATTTCGTCCCACTTAGACTTATCAGTCAGATGTACCTGTGGTGTTCCCACCGAGTCTCTAGCCTTGTTTCAAACTCCAAAGCTTTATCCATTAGACCACTTGAGCCATGAGAGACACCACCACTTGTGCAACGGTTATGAGTTATTATTTAGCTGAATGTGGACCTTCGTGTTGACTGATTGGTCTGAAATGTTCTGTCTCTGTTGACATGTCTTCTCCTTGTGCGGGTGCTCGGACAATGTCTGATTATTTAACTTTGAGTAGTTTGGTGAATGGTGACTAGCAGTAAAATCCAGGATGCGCATTTTATCCTCTTTGGGACTCGGCATCTGAATATACCTGCAGGCAGAAACTGAGTTAAATGATAACAAAATGTTTACATGATGGGATTTGTGGGGGTTTGAATTGATTTAATTCCAGTTGTTCGACTTCGTCAGGAACCAAAATCAGTTAGAACGATCATTGAAAACAAGGAGCACTAGACAGTTGTGTCTGTGCTATTTAAAAGGACTCTTCTCACAGCCTCACCAAATAAAATGGATGCTCATGGTGAGATTAGACAATGTTAAAATTTATGGGTCATTATTGAATTCCAGCCCAAGTAGCTGAATGGTCATCGAGGTTGGTCTCGTAACCTGAAAGTCCCGCGTAGCTCGATACCCCAGTAAGGGTGTGGGTGCGCAGTGTTGAAGAGTCCTAAAATAGAACAAAATAGGTTTCCAGTGCTTCCTGGTGGTTTTCAATGATGATTTTTCTAACTGATGCTGCTGGTTCCTGACGAAATCTTACAATTGAAATTAAACAGAATATTTGTCAGTAAGTGTATTGGTGTAAGGATTATAATCGCCGTTTCCCCGTAAATTATTAGTTTCATATCTAACACTTTTCTCATCACGTAAAATGCCTGCCCAAATAGAGTACTGTATAGCTTTTATATTTAGTCGTTCGAGCATAAATTCGTTTACAATTACTTCTAGTCCTACATGATGAGATAGAGGGAGAGAAAGAGTTGTTCTCCGAGTCCAACAAGATGATTGATATTCGCCAATTTTTTGCATAAGTCTAAGTTAAGTATCTGTCCACAATAATATTGACGAGTTGGCTTAGCAACAACCCACCCGGGATACTGACAGCTTACATCGCCTTTCGCAATGTGACAAGTTCTTTCTCAAGTAACCCAAGAAAGACTAAAGGATAGCAATAAAGAAGAATAAGTAGAATACAAGAATTAACAAGCTATAAAAGTAGAGATCGAGTGTTACTTAACTAACTGTCTAAACTCCCTTACGCAGAAAAGGTTAGACGAAACATCTTCCTAGAAATTAACATAATGTAGGAAGCATCAGCAGTACGCACCCACTGGGATTTGAACCCAGGGCCTTCCAATTGCAAGACGAGCTCGTATACCATTCAGCCACTGAGATCCGATTCAATGACTCATGAATTCTAACTTCTACCAATTCGTGATTTAGCGCGACCCCAACCATTGTCGTTGGTGGGCCATACATCCACACACGTGACATCTAATTGGACCTCACTGGTCACGACTTCTCACTAGAACTCAGGAAACTCCAACCTGTAGCAATTCACTAGCGAGCATCAGATTAATTTTCTATAGATTCCTTTGTAAGGGTTAGTTATGTTTTTACGAGTTGATCACGGATTGATATCAGTTAGAGAACCATTGAAAACCAGGGAGTACTGGACAGCTGCTGTTTCATCCTAGTTTGGGAATCATCGGCAGTACGCACCCACTGGGATTCGTAAAAACATAACTAACCCTTACAAAGGAATCTATAGAAAATTAATCTAATACTCGCTAGTGACTTGCTACAGGTTGGAGTTTTCTGAGTTCTAGTGAGAAGTCGTGACCAGTGAGGTCCAATTAAATGTCACGTGTGTGGATGGATGGCCCACCAACGACAATGGTTGGGGTCGCGCTAAATCACGAATTGGTAGAAGTTAGAATTCATGAGTAATTGAATCAGGTCCCAGTGGCATAATGTAGGAAGACCAGGAAAGACATAATGCAAGGTATTTAACATATGACTTAGTTTCACTTTCAGCGTTGTCCGTGAAATAAGAATCATGAAAACGAAGGAGTTCACCTAAATCACCTATATACCTGAAAATCTGACATTTATAGGGATTTAGCTTAAGACCGTGCGTCGGTGGCATAGCGGTTAGGACGCTCGCCGACCAAGCTCATGGTCCGGGGTTCGATTCCCGGCCGACGCACTCCTTTACCTCGCTGAACCAGTAATAATGCTGGTTAAGAGGAAAGGTTGGGCATGAGGCTAGCAACCCCATCCTATAAAAATAAACACTGCTACAGAAACTTCAAGCCACTGGCTTTAAGCCCTATGTTCCACTGGGGAACGTGAAGGAAAAATTATTGTTATTATTATTAAGACCGCTCAAACGAGACTACTGAATAATTCTTGTTAGAAAGTTATTCATTTTGGAACAGTATGACTGAGAAGTAACCGGTAAAGAAACAGTCACATCATCAGCATACTTGACTTCATCAGAATGAGACACGTCATGTAAACAGAAAGAACAGTTTCCTGGGGTAAGGACACGAGTTGCATTTAAGGGAAAATGTCATTGCTAAATCTCGACAAAACGGTTGCATTGTGCTGTTAGTGTCAGCTGTAATCTAAAGCCTAAGCCAGTTAGAATTTGAGATCTCGGTAAGTGTTAGTCTGAGTTAAAGCAACAGGATTAGATGAATCCATAATTATCACGATTAGCAAGGAAACCTTCGTATGTCTAACTCCTACTTCTTCTGCTATTGTAATAGTGACTTCTATGAGGACTCACTGTTTTCGTCAAATGCTTAATTAATGGACAAATACTCTTAAATTCATGCTCTTATTGGTTTCTATTGAATAGTGGATAGTTTTTCACCTGAATAGTAAAATGCCAATCAAGCGATTTTAAAACATTTTAAACACATGAATTCCTTCGAAAGGACTGCAGTTTAAATTCACCTATTCACAAATCGTACTTTTACACTCATATATTCTAGATAGCTACATGTAATGTCTATCTCGTAAACGCCCAATTTTCATTCCTACACATGTATCGTTTCTCCATGTTAACTCATATTATCTATGCATCTGTGTCTACAACCCACATGTCTCTTGTATGATGATTACGAGTGTGATAGCGAGTGGAGCCATTTTTAATCAAACTGTACTATCTTACTACGTATAGTATAACCTTTAAAAACTGAATTCTGTAAGGAAATATAAACTATGGGTGTGGATACCGTGTGATTAGTATCTTTACTCAATGATTATGCTCTGCAGGTGGGTTCACGAGCCAAAGAGTACTGGGCAGTCTTTTCGCCTTAGATCGGGACTCGTCAGCAGCACGCACCCACTGGGATTCAAACTCAGCACCTTCCGGTTACTCTTTGCATGTTTAGAACTATGAGAAATTCGTATCTCCAAAGAAATCTTACCATAGCCATTCAATTGATGTAAGTCCAGGAAAACAAAATGCCTTTGATATGCTTCTCTTTCTTGTCACAAATACAATAATCTTGATTCCTGCTCTTATCTCAGATTTAAAACCATTGCAAGATGCAACATGAATTGTGAATCTCCAGTTGGTAATTGTTGGAATCATAATTAAGGCTGAAAATGTTTGATGAGCTTTCAACCAAGGCTGCTCTAGCGATGGATAATCTTCCAAAGTTACTACCCTACAGTTCTCATCATTCAACGTTGTGTGCTAACCTTCACTGTTTAAGCATCCCTACTATTGGCACACCGTCGTATTACCTTCATTCAAGCAATGTAGCTAGCAGAACATCGCTGTTCTACACTTCTGATTCCGATTATCAACTTGGTGTCTACTCTAAGGAGAACGAGTAGGTTAAGAGGGATATATGTGTATCTCGCGTACTTGTCAACATCCATCATCTCCTAAACTGTATTTACAATCAAAAAGGTTATAAAAGCTCGGATGCTAGCAGTCAAATAACACGGGGCAAGTTATAGCTGTCACAGTGAAGACCAAAATACTGTTACTCAACAGTCACATGTGATTGTATGAAGTTGGCACTGAGCCAAACCTATTGTGTGTGTGAGGTCTTGTCAAACTACCTGCCAACCAAAACCTCAGTAAGTGGAGCCAGGTTCAATTCTGTCATCCAATGTGGTTGGAAGTTGAACACTTTGACCAATCAGCCACTATTTCACAAAGAAACAGACATCTTTGTGATATACACCTCTAACTTTATTTTTGTTACTTCTATATCTGTATTTACTTCTAATCCTGGAAGATATCAAACATTATTTATTACAAACTTCATGAGTTTTTTTCATTGCTATGATACTAACACACCGAGCAACAACATCACTAAGTAGCACAAGAAAAGACCTAAGTGATGAACTAAAACAGATAGAAGAGGCTTTGGTGTTAAATAACTATCCTTTAAAATTCATTAGGAAGATCGAAAAAGGCCAAAAGCAAATGAAGAATAATTGTGAAACTAGTAATGATAACAAAAATAAGAGAGAATATAAGGCATGTAGAGTTATACCATATAAGGAGGGGACATCTGAGACCCTCCGTAGGATTCCTAAAAAAAAAGCAGAAATTAGGGTGGTATTCAAACCTACAAACTCACACAGAGACAACCTCTGTAAGCTAAAAGACCCGATGGACCCAATTAAACAAAACAATATAATTTACAAAGTACCCTGCAATGACTGTGAGTGTGGTCAACTCTACATAGGTCAAACTAGTAAGTCGGGGGTAGTCAGAACATAAGAATTTAGCTAAGGTAAGAGAAGATAAGTAATTTAGAAAAAAGCTCAGAGATTGCACTGCACACACTAACACACAATAGGGTGATGGGAGAGAGTTAAAGCTCTACGAAGTAATCTAAGTAGGTGGAGAGAGAGAGATTGATTACTGAATCCTGGTTTATTGAGTCTACATCCAACACATGCAACGGAAATGACTCAATGCAAATACCAGAAATATGGAAGATATTATTACCGCCAGACAAATCAGAAGAGGATAATAAATAATCTCAAAATTCTATTTCAATTCACGTACATCATAACATTCTAACAAGTTACTTATTTTGACTATAAAAATACTCCTCTTATATCCCATCTGATTGCATTTGATTGATAACACTCATATTATTTCTGAATGTAAATTATCCTATATTGATTTTTATTCCAATGTCTATGCATTAATTTCACTCATGTATATAAATGAAGTAAAAAGTTATGTGAGTGAATACCTTGATATGATTATGAGTGGCACTAGTTTGTGCTCAAAAAGTGGTCATCAGTTAATATAACTGTACAACACTGCGCGATTTACCAAAGTAAAATCTTATCCATAATGGAGTTATACTCTACCACAGTGCCCAAGTTTTATACTTATATCAATCATAGTCCTTCATATGGCGATCGCACAAATATATCTGCATATTTTCAAGACGTTAGCAGGAGACTTATCCAATCTGTAATGGTGAGTGAAATGCTGAAGATGCTAACTAATTAGTACAACCTACCATCCAAACAACAAACAAGTACGTGAAAACAATGAAATGGTTATGTTTAGACCAACAACAAAAAAATACCCATCCAGACAAAGCAATAAGGAAAAACCGTTCCATGAAGGTTCCTTTCGGCGAATCCACTCGCTTAGCTGTACAACAATATCAACTATACATAACTATTTTTGTATGTGTGTATACACGGCATGTAAGAACAGAAATTAATTTCAAGTATCGCTTAAATCATCGAAATATATTTCAGAACAATGATGAATAATCAAATTCTGATTAGGGGATGATGAAGATTAGACTAAGGTTGTGTAATATGAAAAACGTTCAAATTAACTTCGATTCTTGTGCTATGCACACATACACACACACACACATACAAAGATAATTATACACAATTTCTGTTGTACAGCTAAGAGTCGAAAAGAAACTCTACAATGAACTGTTTTTTCTTACCACCAAGTTTAGACCTGACATTTCCGGCCGATAACTGCTACCTTGTCGTGATGGTCGGGCTTGAATACCGTAATGACCCAACATGCTAAACTGACTGGGACTCTGTCCCTGCAGGTCCTACCATGTCAGGAAGGTTGTTTGGATAGCGGTTAAACTAAAAGCAGTTACCATGTGGTACATGGGCTCCAGTATCCAATCGGATCAAATGGCGTATGAACCCATATGGGTCACCGGAAACCATGGGAATGCAGCTCCTGACGCTGCCTTTTGGATTAGACTCCAAGTCAAAGGTTCGGGGGGTGGTCCCTTAATAAAACCACCTGCTTCGGTCTGGGCGCACGGGCAGTATCTCAGCCCTCACATAATGAATTGAATAAAGCAACAAACAATCAATGAAACTTATCGCGTGCTATTACACGTGTTGCAGTTTCCTTCTTTCCTCCCTTCCCGATGATAGTAAACGAATACTTATAGGTTTCCAGACCGTAGGTGTTACGAATTTCCTGGAATAATTTGAGCGCCGAGTCAGATTGATTCATTATAAATTATTTAAATTAATCCCAGCGAGAAAATCTAAAATTCAATTAAATAATTAATATGACCCGTTGCACAAGAGGTGGCTCTCGTGGCCCAAGTGGTCTAGTAGATAATGCTTTGGTGTTTGAAAGTATGGACACTGGGTTGGAGCCTCAGTGGGAACATGATCACTCATTGGGAAATGCAGGTACGTCCAGCCGACGAGTCCCAAACAGGACGAAATGAGTGATGTCCTGGATTCCAGTGCTAGTCACCATCCACCAGTTAAATTCTGTTTTTAAAATAATCGCGAAATAATAGTATTAATGTGAAGTTGATGAATACTCCTAGAGTAGAAGACAATACCAATAAAAACTGTTTATTTACATGTGGCCTCTGCACACACAAAAAAGTGTTTTCATTGATTTAGCACTTCACAATTTACAAAAAAAATAAAGAAAATACAAAACAGCTTATGCATCTACAAGTATTATTCGTGGAGAAACTCTTATAACTGTAAAAAAAACTTCTATCTAAAATTAAGCAGTGCTGACAAGAGATCGACTTGTTTGCCTTGAGGACGACGAGGAAGTATTGAAGCTCTAGAAAAGTTATTTATAAATTAATTAATTAATTAATTAAGGTGTAACACTTACAAAGAACGTTGTGTATCACAGCTAAACTTTGTTACTATCTTGTCCTGAAAAAAAAACACAAAACAATTTAAGTTGAAATTGTATACGCAAACCTACTTTTTTCACGCTGAATTTGTCTCTTGTATGACTATCACAATAAGCATCGGAGTTAGCGAAGACTTCTGTTACAGACCGTCTGTTGCCGTCCAAGAGTGTATTTTCACCTTGTACTTGTTCATCAGATTTCTTGTTTCTACAAGTTTATATATTAAAGGCTACTAGTTAAAGGGAATATTTTCTAACATGGCATGATTTTCCTCATTCGCCGGAGTTACTTTCGTCTGTTGATTTAGGGTAACTGGTAAAGTAATATTAGAAGGTATCTAAGACAGAAATATATATATATATATAATATTCAAAGAAATTACCCAAGTTCTCATATCACTCAATGACTTTCTAACAGCTAGAATATTCTCATAGCAACAATTAACTTCATCAAGAGAGCTGATAGCTTGTAATCTAAAAATAAATTCATAATGAGATGCTATGAGAATTTAGCAGTCTTGCCTTAAACTTGATATCACTGACATAATTAACAAAAGTACTTTTGTAAAATGTCCAGTAGTAAACTGTGCATTACATGACCTGCAAAATAAATTTTAAAAAAAAGTATGTCAACTCTGCATTTGCTTTAAAATACCTCCAACAGCAATTTAGTCGAGTGATGAGTATTTCAATTTTTTTATACAATTGAAATAAACACACTAATACATGATCTATAGTGTGCTTACTAACACAATGTCCGTGTTTACAATGCTTCGTCATGTTAACATAATTTGCTATCCCACTATTGAATAGAGGACCATCACAAATTTGGGCTAGAGTTCGTCGAACCTATACACAGCATAAAAAGTGATTTATACAAAAAGGAGGATGTTTTATAAAAATTACTGAAGAAAATGATTTGAAGAATAAAAAGTGTCGTAGTTGATTTTTAAACCGAATATAAATCATATGACACAATAGGATGTTTTCATCTTGATAACTCCACGCCTTGCGTAGTTTCCATAAACAAGTAGACTGTTTTTGTGAATAATCTATAATGAACAGACAAAAAAAGAAAAAAAAGATTAAGTAGAATTTACTTTTCAGGTACTAAGATAGACTAAGTCCATTGTAAGTGTAGTGACTGAACGAACAACTTCTTCTGTATGCAGAGTTCAGGGCTTAAGCAAGTGAATCACCACTGCTTCTGCAGTTTGAAGAAGTCTGATTCGTACACCTTTAGGAAGACTACTTCTTACTCTGTAGACGACTTTGAAGTTTGTTCGAAGGGGTGCAGCTCGGTGTCCGGATTCTATCAGATGTTCTTCTAAGATGGAGCTGCGGGGACATCGTTTTTCTCCTTTGTAAAACCATGCTGGTAAGTGTTCGGTGATACGCTTGGAAAGCGAACGCTGGGTACGGCCAACATACCTGGCTCCAAACTATCAGGTGAATTGATAAATACACATTGATGAGGCCGCCAACAGTGGTAGCTTATACTTCACGTTCACATGAATCATAGGTTTTGTGGAGAAAGTTAGTCGTAGTTCAGCTGAGAAGAAGGTCTTCTTGGGTAAGCGAGACAGTCGATTTTTTAGTATTTCAGCAGATATATCTCCATTGAATTGAAGGTTAATGTAGAGTGGTTTCTTCGGGACGCTAAGCATGGGCGGCTTTTGTGGTCTAGGATTCATAGATTTTGCAATAAATCGTTCTGGGTAACAATTCTCGACGAGGATTCTCTTGAGATTGTCCAGTTCACCTTATACGATGTCCCCGCAGCTCCATCTTAGAACATCTGATAGAATCCGGATATCAAGCTGCACCCTAGACAAACTTCGAAGTAGCCTACACAGTAAGAAGTAGTCTTCTTAAAGGTGTACGAATCAGACTTCTTCAAACTGCAGAAGCAATGGTGATTCACTTGCTTAAGCCCTGAACTCTGCATACAGAAGAAGTTGTTAGTTCAGTCACTACACTTACAATGAACTTAATAATCTATAATATATTTTTTCATAATATGCTTACCGAAGATTGATTCAGTGCATGCAATATATAACCTTGGTGGGATGAAATTTATGTTCAAACTCTCCATTATAACCTAAAAATAAAAAAAAATAAAATATTTTTGTCATAGAAGCTAAGAAGTAATAAATGTGATGAATAATTTACCGTATTCGCAGAAAAAGGTGATCACATTTTAAAAAAGGAGTGAATACAATGGTCATTTGAAAGACCAGCGCTCCAGAAACAGTTAAATTCAACCTATATATCAGTCTGTCTGTCTGGATTCAACATAGAACTTGACACCGAAGTGCACCAGTTCGAGTTGCCACGTTCCAAATAGCACAGAGGTAGACAAGAAGATGAGTGAAGAGAATCAATAGAGTTTGACAAGTATAAGAGTGAAACAGAATGGGTAATGGTAGAAAGGAATATGAAAGATTACACAGACTGAATACATCTGCGCTGGCCAGTGACAACGATTTTCAGCCATGTCACCTATTGTCCCCAGCCATTGATTCCTAGAGTCCCGAGGGTCCCAACCCGGAAGTCTGAATCTCCCTACCTGAACCATTCAGTTTAACTGTCAAGGATTTCATGGATTGATGAGGCCATGTTTTTGTTTGGCCACCACTGGCTCTTTTCCAACCTGCACCTATATCAGCCAGTAATGCCCGTCGGGGGAGACAATGGTTAGGCATGCGCAGCACTTGACCTAGCCATCTCAATCTATGTAACTTTATAGCCTCGTCGATTGATTTTCTCTCTTTGCCCAACACTCTACGCCTAACGTCAACATTGCTTACCTTATTAAACCACCTAACGTGAGAAAGTGATCTCAGACACCTATGATCGAAAGCAGTCAACCTTTTCACGTCTTCAACTCGTATTGGCCATATTTCAGAGCCATAGAGAAGGACGGAGCGAACTGATGAGCAGTACACACGTCCCTTGGTTAACAGCCAGCCGGATGCCACGCCTACGCCAGAGATGGTGTAAGTCAGCGAAAGCAGCTCGAGCCTTTTGGATCCGTGCTGAGATTTCGTCGCCAATCAGTCCGTTGGTTCTGATACAACTTCCTAAATAGGTGAAGTGGTGGTCAACATGTTCTATCACTTCACTCCCTATCACTAAGCTAGGAGTTGACGTAGTCCATCCAGTCCTGTAGCACCATCTTACATTTTACAGGGGCAAATCGCATGCCAAACATACGAAGATTGCTGCTCAAGGTGTTCAGAAGACTCTGCATTTTGTCAGCATCCTCCCCTAACAGGACTATGTCATCTGCATATTCTAAGTCCATAAGACTATACCCTGGTAACAAGTCGATTCCTAGGTAATTACTTTCAGTTAAGGATACTTCCATTAGCATATCTATGAAGAAGTTAAACAGGAATGGGGAAAGTGGACATCCCTGTCGGACACCACTGGTTGTTATCAATTCAGATGACAATTCCCCATAAGCCCTTACACAACTACGTGAGTTTGAATAGAGTGCCTTGATTAGTGCAATGTACTTTCTTGACACTCCCTTCACAGTCAAACATTGCCATAGTATCTTTCGATCCACGGAGTCGAAGGCCGCCTTCAAGTCAAGAAATATGGCAAGTGTTGGACGCCGAAAAGTGTGTCTATGTTCTAGAATTTGTCGGAGAGTGAAGATATGATCTATGGACCCTCTACCTGGTCTAAGGCCTGCTTGATTTCCTCTCGTTTGTTCCTCCCGAGTTCTGCTTAGTCTATGCATAATATGATAAATCACTATAATTAACCGCTATTATTATTTATTCTGTCTTTTTCCTGTGTTCCCAGTGGAACATAGAGGCTTGAAGTTTCCGTAGCAGTGGTGTTTATTTTTACTGGGTGTATTTGCTAGCCTTATACGCAACCTTCCCTCTTCACCAGTCTTATTACTACTGGCTTAGTGAGATAAAGGAGTGCTTCTGCCAGGGATCGGACCGCAAGCCACATGTGTGGTTGGCGAGCGTTTCACCACTGCACCACCGCTAAAATGTCTTAATCCTATAAAATGTATTATCATTTATTTACAACCCTTGTCAACCAAAATACTGAAACGGATCACTAGACTTCAAATAAAGGACCAGTGTTAAATTACTTATTATTATTACTATTATTATTATTGTCTCCTTTAGTTCCTAGAGGAACATAAGGCTTCAGCCGCACGTCCCCATTGAGTTCAGTTCTTCATCGAAGTTTTCACCCGCTAAACGTCTTCCCACACGCTTTCATCTTCTCTTCACATTACCTCGTCTATGTTACCCCCACACTGACGACCAACTCGCCGCTTCCCTTTCGGCTTCCACTCCAGCAATGTCCTGGAGTGTGATGCCAGTTGATGGTTTTTTTTCATAGTATGGCCAATCCACCTCCATTTCTTCCTGTATATTTGTTGCACAATCAGTTCCTAGTTGGTTCGCTCCCAGAGATCCCTGGTGCTGATCTTTTCAGGTCATCTGATCTTGAGTATTCGGCGAAGACAGCTGTTGACGAGGATTTATGGTTTGTTTAAGGCGCCCTTTGTAACGCACCGTCTCTGATTCGTACAGCAGCACTTATTTCATATTGGAGTTGAATATCCGGACCTTATTTTTAATGCTGAGTGCTGTTGATCTCCGCACAGACTTGAGAGTAATTAAAGCTTCGCTTGCTTCTCGCATCCTCGCTTTAATATCTTCATCAGTTCAGCGTGTAGTTGAGACGATGCTTCCCGGGTAGGTAAAGGAGGCTGCTTCTTTCAGGTTTCTCCCATATATGCAGGCTGATTGGTGTCTGTTGTTATTGCTGTTAGCCAGGAATCTTCATAACCTGTTTTCTCTATGTTCACCTAAAGTCCTATCTATGATAATTCTATTGCCAACTTGTTTTATCAGGAAATGATCTTCGGAAAAATGAACAAAAATGTAATCACTGAAATGATAACCAGTGTCATGTACACAAGACTTATTTCTCAAACCAACAAGCTAACAAAAACAATCAGCTTTGTAATAGACAGACAATATAGTGCCCTTAGATTGAATGACATGCCATCATAAAAGATATGGAGTAATGAGAATAATGATAAACAGATGTTAAAGTAGTGTTCCCCGCATTGCATACATTTTTTTGTGAAAGCCTTTTCAAGACACGTAAACGCAAGAAAGTAAAGCACCCTACTCCAAATGGCTGATGACAAGAATATTAAGAGGTAATAAAATGTACACAGTGATTACAACGCGGTGCTAAGATATATATATATATACCCCTGATAAGTAGTCGTCGATCCTCTTACTGGAAACTATGGTCATTCAACCGAGGAATTTGTGAAGAACGGTACAACAGGATAAGAGATATAAACAATTCACAAAAACAGCTCATCTTTATTTACCTCGATGCATACAAGTACAGAAACTAGTCTAACTTAGGAACTGATACTCCTTATTATAACTTGGACATCTTTTTAAATCATGTTAGAGAAAGACACCCTGTTTAATGTGTTTTCATGCATTTTCTTGTATACATATGTCATGTTTTGTGCAAGTCACTTATTTTTATGGTTGGTCGGCTGATGGTCACTGTCTGTTTGTCTGGTTTCAACACAGAACTTTGCACCGACGTGCAGCAGTTCGAGTCGCCACACTCCACTTAGCACACAAAGCAAGAGAAGAAAAGAAACGCAAAACAGAGACAGTAAGGAGAGATATGATGCAAAAACAATATTTATATCGAAGAAAAATATAGTTTTATTGGAAATTATGTCACAAGGAATAGATACATCTGTGCCAACACTGAGAACGATTTTGAGCTATATCACCGACTGTTTCCAGTCATTGTCCTTTGCCGTCCTGAGGATTCCAACCAGGAAGTCTACACCTCCCTACGTGACTGGCTGGCTTAAAATAACTGTTGGGGGTTTTATTGGCTCGTACCATGTTTGGGTTAGACCGCCGTTAGCTCTTTTCCAGCCTGAACCTATATCAGCTAACACTGCCCATCGAGGAAGGTGATTACTAAGTATACGTAACACGTCCTAGCCATCTCAGTCGATGTAACTTCACAGCCTCGTTTATTGATTTCCCCTCATCACCTAACATTCGACGCCTAACCTCAATATTGCTCACTCTATTACACCAATTCACACGGGAGATACCACGCAGGCACCTGTGATCAAAGACAGCTAGCCTGCCTTTTCATGTCTTCCACTCTCAATGGCCAGGTCTCACAGCCATAAAGGAAGACGGAGAGGAATGCAGAGCAGTATACACGCCCTTTGGTCCACAGGCAGTTGGATATCACGTCTACGCCAGAGACGGCGTAAACTGGCATGTCAAACGAGCCTTCTGTATCTGTGATGGGGTCTCGTCAGCAATCAACATGTTTGGACTGGCTGATGTAACTTGCGAAATAAGTGGTGGTCAACACGCTCTACCACTTCACTCCCTACTTCAAAGCTAGGAGTGAATGTAACAGTCCTGTCGCATTATATTACATTTGGCGGGAGCGAATCGCATGCTAGACATTCTCAGATTGCAGCTCTAGGTTTTCAGAAGACTCTACACTTTTTTAGCGTGTTCACAAAGCAAGGAAGACTATACCATCCGCATATTCTAAGTCAACGAAATTATTCCCTGGTATAAAGTCAATCCCTGAGTCTCTGAAGTGAGTTAGGTTTAAGTCCATTAGTACGTCTATGATGATATTCACTAGAAATGGAGATAGTAAACATCCCTGACGGACACCTCTGGTTGTTACCACTTCAAATGACAACTAGCCGTAAGCTCTCACCCGGCTGACTGAATGAGTTCGAGTAGAGTGCCTTGGTCAGAATAATGTATTATTTCGGCATTGCCTTCACAGCCAAACATCGCCATAGAATCTCTCAGTTGACAGAATCAAGTGCCACCTTTAGGTCAAAAAATATAACGATTGTTGGACGCCAGTAAGAATGCCTGTTCCAGAATCTGTCGAAGGGTGAAGATATGATCAATACACCCTCTTCCTGGTCTAAGGCCTGCATGGTTCTCTCGTGTTTGTTCCTCCAGAGCACCTCTTAGTCCACGCACTATTACTCAGCCTATAACTTTAGGTACTATACTAGTCAAGCTAATCCCCTTGTGATCAATACAGGAAGACTTATCTCCTTTCGTGCGTTCGTATCCCTTGGGACGCTATTATCCAGTATCCAATATCGTTTTTACGAGCTAGTATAAACCAATTTGGGCAAAGTTCAAGAATGGAGTCCCAAGAGATGCGAACGCACAATGACCTTGAGCCGACCAATCAGAAAATAGGAGGAATTTTGCATAAAATTAACGTATATTTACACAAAAATGCATGAAAAAAACATTAAACGGATTATATTTCTCTGATATGACTTAAAAATACGTTGCAGTTGCGATGAAGAGTATCAGTTGCTAATTTGGACTACTTTCTATAGATATATTCACCAAAGAGACTGAAGGTGTGCTGTTTTGCGAATGGTTCATCTCTCTTCTCTTGCTGTGTAGTCCTCTCCTCAGCCCTCGGTTTAGTTACTATGGTTCCAGTAAGAGCATTGGCAACTACATACAAGGAAAATAAGGATAACAAAAGAACTTGAAATAAACGAAAAATCTATTCCTAATCGCTACCCTAACCCTAAACCCTAACCCTAACCCATAAACCTAACCCTAACCCTAAACCCAAACCCTAACCCTAAACCCTAACCCTAAACCTAACCCTAAATCCTAAACCTAACCATAACCACAATACTCGCCTTAACCCCTATCCTAACCCTAACGAGATGTTAACACATTGTCCAAACAGTAATAAAAGTGTTATCTGGGTGAAACTTGCTCCTTATTTGATTAATAGGGTTGATATTTCAGTTATGATAATGACAGGAACCGTTAGCCAACGACTAGCATGCGTTCAAGGTCATTTGAGCGTTGAAGGTTTTGGGACGCTATTCTTAAACTTCGCCCCAATTTGATTTCTTTGTGCTCGCTTCTTGATACTATATTACAGGGCGGTGATGTATTTATAACCGAATCTGAGCCGCTATCTAAAACAAATGTGTTTCTATGAACACTTTTTTAGAGATTTAGACCATAATTTCAAAGATTATGTGACAATAAGCAGTAAATGAATATCAGAGAATACACGTGCAAAGGAGAAAGGATAGCGGCACAAATGCTATAGTTGAACTTTGCCACAAATATATTAGCCACCTCAGTACATGACATTAGAAAACTATTCGGGATTAAATTAGGGAATTTCGAACTTGCTCTAGGAGGACCAAGTACTGGAACACTATGTTCACTGCGGACTATTTTTCGTTTCTAATACATGCACTTACGGGGAAGTCTTGTCAAGACAACTGGTATTTTGTGAGGATTGAGACTAAGGGAAAATGAAATATAATTCATCTGAAGCGGCAACCAAGTATTATAACGTAAAGTAATAGTAAAGTATAGTCAACAAAGTCGAATGTCCTTGAATTTACTCATTACATTCTTGTAGGTGAAAATGTCATTTACTTTTAAAAAAGCTGCATTTATAAGATGTTTATTTGATAAATTTGAGTCACACAGGTTTTATGTATCTTTAAGCTGCTGTGAGAACTGGTCCAAATTTCTCATAAGAGTGCACTCCTATGCAGGCATGCCTGCAGAGATATCAACTGATATCGGTATTGGTTTAGATATTGGTTTAAACCAATATCGATACATAAAATCTAATTGGATATATATCATATCATATTGCGGGCCATTTACTATTACCACTGTTTATACCTTATCTTGCTGTTTAAAATCTGAAGTATAAAACTGAAATTTACCGTGATAATACAAAATACAAAACAGAACCCAAGCCGCTCAAGTACCGGTCTTGTCGAAGTACGCGCCCCGCGTCAATTAGTATTCAAAGTCGTTTTTACAACTGGACTATTAGACTGAAATTGTCCGTCACATCCAAGGATATTGGTGAAGTGAGACGCCTAAAGGTCATTTTCGTCCATGTCTGTCAGCCATGCTGGATTGCAGTTCCGTAGCCGTTCGTTCACTCACACATTAGATTCACATTTATCCTGCAGTTATTCGCAAATTATCTTTTTGCACCTTGTTCACAAATGTTGCACTTCATCTCATTTCCGTTTCCGTTGCCGTTAGAATATTTTTTGTTTCGAAATTTTTTACTACCGGGTCAGTTCATCTACTCTACAGTAGTAGTTTCCTACTTTGCTTTGATGAGTGGTTGCAGTGTTGTTGTTGTTTTTTAGCTGTTAATGAATAAGCACTGTGTAGAAGTTTTGGAAAGTATGCACATTAGCATGTTTGAGAAGCAGAAGCCGTTGTTTCCAGTTCATTCGTTGGTTGCCGTTAGAGTTGCCGGCGTAATCGATTAACTTTCATGTAGAAGTCTGGAAAAAACACTGTCTTTCAAGTTCATGTTTACAGTATGCCAGAATCTACGAGTCAGTCTGGTGAAGGCTGCACGATCAGTGCCGATATTAGTAACGTCTTCAAAGAACACATTAAACCTGGAGAATTTAGAAGCTTGGTAGGAGTTGAAAAGTCATTGTAACTTTTCGAGAAGGTGAGAATAGTCCCAATGTGCCTGTTATCAGATAAACACCAAATATATTGTGAGAGAATCTAAATTAAACAAAGATGAAACACACGTGAAGTATGAATATAAGGTGGCTGTAGGGATTCTCAGAAACAAATAGAATACTGGAACCAATCAGAAACCCCTAAAGCTTGAGTGTTATTGTGGTTGTAAATGCCTAATGCACTAAATCCAAGTACATAAAATTAGTATGCCACCAGTAAGGTCAGTGTTAAGAGACGTTCAATATGCTTAAAAACGATTTGAAAAGCGGACAACATACGATGATCTGGTAAGTGAACTATCTTGGTTAAAAGTAGGACTATAATTAGCAAGAATAACGTTGCGTGTGGTAATCTACAATCAATGGTTTTTTCAAAGTTACAACAAACTGAGAAGCTGATTATTATTCGAGGTGAAAACGGTGCCTGATTACTAATTGTTCAAATAGTCGAATTCTCCCTTTTCGGATGTTTGTGATTTCTCCGTGACTATAGATACGATGTCCATGATTTTCACAAAAACTTCAAATAAATTTTCCTTGAACCAGCGGTCTTCTTTTTCTCGAAAAAACATTGACACGATTAGACGATTAGGTAGCAAAGTAAAATGTTCTGTGAGTGAAGATTGTAGTCATTATGTTTCGGATTAACATCGCGCGTCTGGCTGTCACAACTTCATGGATATAGCTTTTTCCTCATGGTGCATTATGGTATCCAGAAGTCATAAGCGCACTGTCATTTGAGGTGATAAGATTCTTTGGTGGCGCAAAGACTAAGACTCTCGCCGACCATGTACATGGTCCGGTGTCCGATCCTCTGCCGGCGAACACGCGATATCTATGGTCGGCCTGCGAAATTTGGGCTACCAATATCACAGGCTGAGAATTCCATACTTGTATCAACAATACGTGTGAAGTCAGGCTATATAAAAAATACCTCAAAACCCACCCGTGGAGATTACGATATATTTACTTTTTCAACTAGGAGACGATCTTTTTACCAAGAAAGTTCTCAGAGTTTCCACTTTTACTTTGTAATTCAAAGACAATGTCGAGTTGCTCACTAGGGTAGTAGCTATAGGAGATAACCTACAGTGGAAACCACCATAAGGTAGCTACGTAGCTTTAGCTAATGCGTCATAGAAGCAAGCAGTGTACGTTGGCTATTTCTAAACATATTAAACATATGAGGAGGAAGGGTGGCGCTAGCTGATCAGTAGATATGATGGTAGTCACTCAGGTGATTCGCCCCAATCTGCAGGAACAGCAATATGCAATTTGATGGATCCAGATTTTACTGACTTTTCTGAGGGCTTAGATCTTTATCTTGGAAAAGATAACAATGAACGCCTAGACAGATCATGCTTCTGCCTTTAAATATATACCATTCGTTCAGCCTACTGTTGAGATGCGACCGCATGGGCTCTGCACAGATTTGTGGAGCATCTTATAAATTAACTTGCTGTCCGTCGTCGGATCTTTAAATACCACTTCACAATGTCTTATCTCATTCATTTTCTAATAATGTCTTTACCTGATCCTCAATATATTCCAGTGAACCTAACATTTTATAGCTCTTTATGAATTTGATTCGACCCAATCTGTTCCTATTCTCTGTAGGGTACGGTTGTGCACCAAACAGACAAGAAAGTATGAAATAAAAACAACTGGTTTGAAAATAATTGTATTAAACCTAAAAGTGGACATCATGATGGTAAGACATATATGAGTAGCATTATGCATTGCAAATGAACGTTGTCGGCCTAGGGATTAATCACTTTCCCATTCTATTTCTTATATAAATGTATTTATTAATGATATATTCCACTTACTTATTTTATTACACTTTAATGATTCACCTTAGCACTTTGACTTTTCTAAAACAGCTTTCAATCCCTTGTAAACCTTATACTTACGTCAATACCGGTTGGTTATCGTATGCCGACAACCACGGGATGAAAACGAAACGAAGTCGATTTTACCGCGGAACATGGAGGACAATTGTACAATTCAATAACTATACGGCATGGTTCAGACAATGAGTGTATCTATATAAATGTGAAGTATAAAACTGTTGAAATATAATTAGCTTAAAGAAAATTTACGATTTGATATTATATCATATATTATATCGTGCCTGTAAAAATGGCATGCATTTTCAAATAAATTTATATAGTTACATGCAAATAGATATTATCATTATAAAAGATGAAGCTGATCATACAAACGCAGGTAAAGTGAATATATGTGATAATGATCATGATAGTGCATATTTGTTTTTGGTTGATCATGATGAGATGAGCGGAATGCCTAATACTACTACTGCTACTAAGTTGAAAAAATTCTGTACAACTTGAATGTGAAGAAAATTTAACAGCAGATGCAGTCGTAGAAGGTATGGATACTTGTGAGACCGTCAGCGTAATTGATCACCGTTTAGCCCACCTGTCATCAGATGTTGATGCTGAATTGGATCTAACAACAAAAGACAGCAGTGTTGGTAATCTTGCCACTAGACAAAATTCTAAAAGCCGAAAAACAACAGCTTCTGATGCACCGCTAAGTTCATCAACTGGTATCAATCAGTCGTCGTCGGTATTGTCATCCACAATGAAAAAGACGCCCATCAACTCAAGTATTTTGTGCAGTGACTATGAGAGTATTGGTGAGTTTGAAAGGACGAAAGATATTGGTCAGTTTAGTGAGAATAAGCCAAGTGTAAACGAGAGTGTGATTGCTAAACTGGCTTGCACGAATAAAGGCATTTCTGGTTTCAAGTTACTATTTGAATGTTATTATCTTTGGTATAAATTACTCTGTGTCTACGCTTGGTTGGCCAGAAACGTCGCGTGTTTGTTCGTCATCTATATTCTACGATACAATGACATGGGCGTGTTGCCGTTCAGATTTGAGGATATAGCTGATAGAAGGAAGTCAGCAAATGAACTCTGCGACGATTTTCCAACCTAGGGCGTCAACCTGAGAAGGGTTGTAGGCGTACTGCTGTAAGTCCTACAATTCTTCAAAGGGTAGCGCATCAATGATCAGTCCAATGTGCTTGGTGTGTTGTTTTGTACATATGTTCATATTGTATATACTGAATTGATATCATGTATCATCTAGCTGTTGGTAATTCTCTTTGTTTCCGGACGACTTCCACTTGGATTATCAACCTGAGAAGGAATGTAGGCGTACTGGTGTAAGTCCTACAGTTCTTCAAGGGTAGTTCGTCAAGGCAGAATCCACTACTTTGACGTGTTGATTGTACATATGTTTGTGTTAAATAACTGTGTGAGTTCCAATTATTGTAATTGTTGGTTAATCTTGTTCGTGTCCGGACATTCCTCAAATTACCATCGCCAACCTGTGAAGGGTTGCAGGCGTACTGGTGTAAGTCCTGCGATTCTTCAAAGGAATTCCACCAAGACATGATCGGCGAGGTTGTTTGTACTGCTTGTATATACCCGTGGTGTGTCATATCAGTTGATGTTTTAGGATTCATTGTGTTTACTTGTTGTTTTCGTAACTTGTTCTTATTGCGTAATTTTGTTAAATATTTCGTCGTGCTTACTTCTGAAGTTGTTTCGAGTCTTCCGAATCCTCGAATGAATTGACTGATGTTAAAGACAGCAGATGGGTCGTATACGTCAGGGAGGCTAGTTCTGAGAATGACATGCACACGTAGACGAGGATTAACTGTGGAATCAATGATTGATAATGAATGTTTGTATTCAGGCTGTGGTCCCACACGCCGGGAGCCAGGGTGTATACGATTGAGGTTTGCATACTTCACAGTTACTAGAACTGATGCAGAATTAATGTGACATTGCTGTGGGTATGCCTCTGGTGTGTGTGTGTTTGTTTTCCATTTCAGCTCTGCCCGTGTGACCCAGGTTCTCGCAATGGCATGCAATTCATCGTGTATTGGTCGTGGTGGTAAAATGGGATGGATCCGATTTTGCTGGGAAGCTTCAATATAGTTGAAGATTGAACGACCAATTCACGGTTGTTTGCTCAAACTCAATTTTTCAAAAGTCTTCGCGGCTGTCATCAATCTTGCAGTCATCGTCTCATCGTTCGCTACTAAGAGGAAGTTAAATAACTATCAGAAACCTTGTGTTATAACCCTTTTTTGGTTATATGTTGGCGTAATAATAATTGAAAGAATCCTCTTGACATCTTGCAACATATTATCTACTTGCTTGAATTACTTTTGCAGAACGCATTGTGACCATAGCAGCGCATCATGATACTCTTCGCACATCCACTTATCTATTCACTACCAATTACCGCCGCGATCG